CTACTCAGGAAGGTCCATTATTTGAAGGTTTCAGTCCCTAACAGGGGACAGGGAGAATACTTCTGCCATTATCCTCAGCCCCAGACCAGGGTGTGAAGGAGTCAACCCCCATGACTTACAGGAACTGAGTATATAGATTTCGTCCCAACTTCATGTTCACATATACTATGGGCTTAAAATGGGCCTGGTTCAAGTATTCATAGCCATAGAAGTTAGCAACCACTATACACGTTACTTTTTTTTTCAAGAGAGGTGATGGTTGAACACTTAGAGTGGCACGGGCTACTGCTCCCACGAGGGCCCTCCAGGAGTCAGCATAATATCAGCTCTGCTCCCACCTACTCTACTCTTTCATCTGACAAGATGCAAGAACCAAAATGTACTCCTCCACCCATGGATGTGGGTGAGACTCACTGCTGCCTCCTTAGGGCTCTCAGTGACCTGCAATACTGATCTGATCATCATAGCAGTCACAAGTTTAGCTATTGGCCTAGCTACCTTGGTCTTGTAGTTGACTAACAGATGTGTCTGTTTCACATGAGATACTCCAGAAAACTCAAAAGTCAGCTGTAGCTGCCTTACCTGGAGACAAGACACTTTAGTGTCAGCAACGGGCAGCAGGGAGCACTGCTCCCCACTGTGCAGAGATAATAGAACAGACAGAGGCTTCGCTTTGTTTTTATGACTTCTGAAATAATTACCAAACTAAAGTATGTTCACTGTAGAGATTTTTAGATTCTATAAAATTCATGATGAAAACAAAAGGCATTTATACTTAGAGGCAGCTTTAAGTGAAACAAAGGGAGACTGAGAATAGTGCTCTCCTTAGGAAAAAGGTAATCCCTTCTTGTGACAACCCTGACTTTACAACCTCTGAGCTCAGAGTGACAGCAGGAATGACACTCCAGGACACCGAGCAAGAGGACGGGCTGGTATGGGAGCAACTGCGAATCTGTATTAAAATGACTAAAAAGTTCCTCAAAGACATATGCTTTATAATCTAAGAAACCAATTTGTCAAATGTGATGTTACAGTTTAGATGTGAAATGTGCTTCCACCAAAGGTTCATGTAATGAAAATTTGGGTCCTGATGCAAGCAGTGTTCAGTGATGGGACTTTACTGAAGGGGGACTGACTTCACTGAACTGGGACTGGGGAGGGCTCTGTCTTCACCAATAGGTGAACAGCTTGGGAGGTGCTGACCATGGAGAGCAGAACCTGGTTGGAGGATGTAGATCAGAAGGGTATATGCCCTTTTTTTTTAAAAAAAAATTACATCTATTTATTGTGTGTATTGGTCAGTTACAGGAATCAGTTCTTTCCTTCTGTCATGCGCATGTGGGATTGAACTCAAGTCATCAGGTTTGGTGACAAGTGCCTTTACCCTATGAACCATTTTGCCAGCCCTTAATTTTTATTTTATTATTATTTTTTGGTTGACAGTTTTAGGAAATTCATATGATGAACATTAAGTCACTTCCAACCCTCACCCCCTTCTCTCATTCTCTTCTGATGAAACTGTTCTTCTCAACCAGTCTCTCTCTTTCATGTCTTTTTGTGTGAGGCCTAACGAGTTTATTTAGAGTTTCTTGCCAGAGCATGGCTGGGAGATTATTTACTAGAACAAGGGCAAGCGGGTGTGTCTATCTTGCCCTAGGCCTCTTCCTGCTTGCCATGAAATGAGCAGCTGTGCTCCTCCATGCCCTTCTGCTGTAATACTCTGCCTCACCAGAGCCCTGAAACAATGCAGTTTGCTGACTATGCTGAAACCATGACCCAAATAAAGCCTCTTCCCTCAAGCTACTTTTCTCAGCTACTCTGTCACAGCAATGAGAAACTGACTAACTCACAAAACTAGTATTAAATGAGAGGGGTGGTGGTTGTGACTGTACTGGATAACGTGATGCAGAAGTCTTTGGAACTAGTTTTTAGGAGGAATTTGGAAGATTTTGGAGAGGCAGGCTAAAAAGAAGCTGCGCTGGATAGCTTTAGTTGCCAATTTGACACACCTGGGTGGAGGGGGCCTCAATTGGGGAACTGCCTCCATTGGAGTGGTCTGTAGCCATGTCAGTGGGGCATTGATTGCTGAGTGATGGAGAGCCCAAGTACACTGTGGGTAGTGCCACCCCTGGGTAGGTAGTCCTGTATTGTATAAGAAAGCAGGGTAAGCATGGGCCAGGGGAGCAAGCCAGTAAGCAGCATTCCTCCATCTTCAGGTCCTGCCTCCAAGTTCCTGTCTTAGGATCCCTCAGTGATGAACTGCGACCCAGGAGATGTGAGCCAAATAAACCCTTTCCTCTCCAAGTTAGTATTGGTGAGAGTGTTTTGTCACAGTGATAGAGATGCTAACTAGAACAGAAGCTTAGACTGCTATAAGGAGAATTTAATAAGCAATTCTGGTGGGAGCTCAAATCTCCAGAATGCCAAAAAAAAAAAAAAAATGTGGACAGTCAAGACTGTGCTTGGAGGTTTCAGGTGGGAATAAGGACTCTACTGGGAACTAGAGACCATGCATGTTATATTCTGACAAAGAACCTCCCTATATTTTGTTCTGTGGATGAGATAACTCACCTGGTAGAGTCATTTCAAAGCAGCCCAGCATTCAAGCTGCCATGTAGATACTGCTGCTGATTTTAGCCAGTTTACAGTGAGAATAAGGAGAGAAAAAGCAGAGCTAAAAGGTGTGAAAACTTCCAAGTTTGCTTAGAAAGAAGTTCATTTAGTTGGGTCAAGGAAGATGTGACTGCCAAACAGATTAGGATTCAAGTGTTGAAGATGTGGTCCCCAGCTAGTGGATCCAACCAATGATCCGTAATTGGAACATGAGCACTCTGTCTTTATCAATATATTAATCCACTGATGTAGTCAAAATTTTGTTGCAGAACTGAGACAGTAGGATGGCCAGAGTGGAGGAGGGGGGTTCCTAGGGATGTGCATTTGAAGGGAGTCACTCACTGGTCCCCCATCTTTGCTCTTCTTCTCTGGCTCTCTGCTTCCTGGTTGCCATGAAGTGAGCACCTCTACTCTGCCCTGTCTTTCCACCATGATGTTCTGCATCACCATAGGGCCCAAAACAATGCATCTAGCTGATCATGGAATATAATCTCTGAAAGTGTGAGCCAAAGTAAAATAAACCTTTCCTCTTTTAAGTTGTTTTCCTTGGGTATTTATCATAGTGATAAAAAGTTTGACTATCACATGTTGATAGGAAATCTATAAGGGTATTCATTGCACCCTTGATTAAAATGGTGAAAACTCATATGTAGCTTAGTTGATAAAAAGTTAGATGAATTATCATGTGTTTAAAATGATAAAGTTTATATTTATTAATCTAAAAAAAACAATATGACAGCTTAGTCAATGAGAAGTTAGGTGAATTATATGTTAAAAATGATAGTTTATATTTATTAATCTGAAAAACTAAAACATCTGTCAAAAAGTAGGCTGACACAGTAGGCAAAATTGTACATGTAATTGTATGTTTGTGCATGTTTTGTGTGTATATGTCTGCATGTGTATATGTATTCATATGTATGCAGGTGTATATGTGTGCAAGTGAGCATGCACATTTGTGAGCACTTGTGTAAAGAAACCAGAGGACCACCTTGGGTATTGTTCCTCAGGTGCCACCCACTTTTTTATTTTGAGACAGGGTCTCTCACTGGCCTGGAATTTGTCAATTATGCTAGGCTGGCCGGCCAGAGAGCTGCAGGGATTAGTTCATCTCTGACTTCACAGACATGGGATTATAAGCATGTACCACCACACCTGGCTTTCTATATGTAGGTTCTATACGTAGACTTGATCCTGGTCTTTGCTATACAACTGGCATGGATCCCTGACTGGCTCATCCTCACTTCCTTGGTGGAAGACATTTGTGGCTCACTAGACAGCCTTGACCCAGACACCAGTCTACAGGGTACAAAATGGCTGCTGCCTTCAGCACCAGGGTCACACTAACTATGGAAGCTAACAGGGCACGGAGATCCCAAGCAGACCCTTAGTGTCCCAGAGAAGGGTCTCCAAGTCTTTGCTGCTTCTCCATCATTAGGGACAGAGGCATAGGGGAACGAGGAACAGAGATGTTTAAATGGACTTGGGAGAGACAAAACAGGTACAAAATGATGCCACTTATGCTCTTATCAAGAGGCAGGAGCTCAGGCATCACTTTTGTGCATTACTGTGAGAAGGTCAAACAGCAGAAACATACAGAAAGGATAAGAGATTAAACGCTTTAAAGATTTGGTGAGAGGACAAATGATACAGAACAATCAATAGAAGTGACTATTGAAAACAAGACTTTAACAGCATTGGCGACTACATCGAAGGAGACAGGAAAACCAGGTTTCTTATCCTTTCTTTTGGTATGTAAGGTAGGGAGCTGCCCAGCAGTGCTTGAAACAAGGCATCGATCAACAGTGGACGGTTTCAATTCTGGGTTTCATTCTGAAAACACATCTGCTGCCTCAGAATCAGGACATCATAAGGGTGAGGTGGCCAAGGCACAGACAGCTGTCACCATGGAACACTTACTGGACTCTTGGCTCATGAAAGCAAACTGAGTCCACCGTTAAAGAGGAAGCAGAGCAAACCAGTGCAACCTGCAGACGTGTTTCCTTCACTCGAGTTTGGAAGTATACAATGTACACGTATCTATTATGTAAACGCAGCTGCCTGCTGAGAAAGCATGGGCCCTAAATCCTACCATAGGCAGGCGGCTCCCTATCCCTGTTGAACTGCTTGACCCCCAGCCTGCCAGCCACTCTCTATTAGTTCAGTGCAGTTCTGTTCAGAAAGATTGCTGGCTCACCCTTCTGGCCTTCTAAGAGAATGCTGTCTGTGGTAAACAGTGCCAATAGTTTGACTAGTGGTCAAACTCGAGTGTGTTGAGGGTATTGGGCCCCATGTGAAGCAAGGGCACCAGCTCATCTGCAGTTTACACGGGCAATGGGAGGGCAGGTGGCTGGGGCAGGCATGGCCAGGCAGCGGCCCACACTCACCTCCGCATGCACTCCAGGGCCTGTGTGAAGACCTGCGGAGCCATGCCATGCTCGTGCTGCAGGATCAGGCATTGTTCCAGTGTCACTGACATGGCTGTGCGGTCCTTGGCACTCTTGCAGCTGGTGAACCGGACCCCGTTAAGGCGGCGACAGACCTGCCAACAGGAAACAGGAAACGAATCTGCTTAGGAGGGACTAATTGGCAGAAAGGAAGCACCTTGAAGGAGGAGGCTCCTCACAGGCCTGGCAGAAACACAGGTAGTGAATCCCAAGCCTAGACCTAGCCTAACTCTGTCTGGCTCCCCAACTCTGTCTTGTACTGGTACTGAAAACCAAACCTCCAAACAAGATCCCCTTGGGAGCCCTGTCACCGAAGGGGACCTGCTTTCATCCCTGCCACTCTCTCCCTTGTATGTTCTTCCAAGGGACATTCCTCACCAGCCATCCATTTTAACCATATTGGGACTTCTTGGCACAGCCAACATTTTACTGATGACCTTCCCCAGAGAAAGAGGGCATACAAGATGACCTACCTAGTGAGAGCCACAGCCATGCACATGGTTCCCTTGTCCCTAGTCATCCCTCTCCCATAACAAGAACACTTTAGGGCATGCCTTCCATGATTCTAGATACAGTCCTAGCTTCAAGGTTTCCAAAGATATAGCCTCTTGCACAAGAGGGCATATGCAGTGTCAAGATCTTGACTCAGTGGGCTATAGTCAGCTCTGGGGCTCTGGCTGGGTCTCCCTACCTGTGAAATGAGATGCTAGACATGACTGAAGGTGGTCCAGCTGACTAGTTGGAACTCTGGTCATATATAAAAATGAAAAGAAATTAAGATCTAGGAAAGAGGCAGTTCTGAGTGGCTTTGCTCTGCTGCCCATACCTTCTTGTCCCCCATAGATGACCATATGGACAGTATGAAAGGACTATATATACAAGTGTCCCCGAGAACTCCAAACCTCTGAATCTATATGTCTATATTGTGGGGCTCTGCTGGGATCAAAAACTACAGGACTGGATGGATTATCTTTCTGACTGTTGATAGGGGAAGGTCAACTGCCCTGTCATGTTTTTGTTAACTTGATACAAACCTAGACATACCAGGGAAGAAGAAATCTTAATTGAGGAACAGCTTCTATCAGATTTGTCTGTGGGCTTGTCTGTGAGATTCATATTCTCTCTCTCTCTCTCTCTCTCTCTCTCTCTCTCTCTCTCTCTCTCTCTCTCTTTCTTTTTTTTTTTTTTTTTTGGGACAGGTTCTCTCCAATCCCCTCTGCCTTCCCCCACCAAATCCATATCCTCCAATTTGTGTAGTTCTTTCATTTATTTTTTTGATTTTTTTTTTTGAGACAGGGTCTCTCTGTAAGCCCATCTGGCCTGGAACTTACTATGTAGACCAGGCTGCAGGCTGGCCTCCACCTCACAGAGATTCATCTGCATCTGCCTCCAGAGTGCTGAGATTAAAGGTGTGGCGTTTGACACCACAGCCAGCTGTGAGACATTTTCTTTAGTGCTAATTGATGGAAGGCCCAGCCCACTGTTGGCAATACCATCAATGGACAGGTGAGTCTGTACTGTATAAAAAAAAGTAGCTGAGCAAGCCAGGGGAAACAAACCAGTAAGCAGCATTCTTCCATGGTCTCTGCTTCAGTTCCTGCCTTGAGTTTCTGCCTTAGCTTCTCATGATGACAGACTATAAACCTGAAACCAAATAAACCCTTTCCTCCCTCAACGTGCTTTTGGCCAGTCTTTTATCATAGCAACAGAAAGCAAACTAGAACACACCCTCATATTTAACTAATGATTGTTCTATCATACACAACAGAGAATTACAATCTCCAAACATGGTATGCAGAGGTCTATGCATTTATAAAGCTGTCAGTGTGTTTAGTCCAAGGAGAATGGATGGATGAGGGTATGTCCCATGCCACTGTTCAGGGTCTGGCTGTGTCACCCTCTGGACTACGTTACATGAAAAGATTGGCTCTTTCAGTTCAAAAAGGCACCTGTGTAAGGCTGCTACTCTATGGCTAAGACATTTAGCAGTCCCTCAATATAAACTTAGCAGCATCTCTCTGCCCTGCTGCATGGAAGGTATGTTCCTCACTTGCTATCCCACTTGCTGGACTCAGCCTGAAAAACAATGCCAATGAGGCTCGAAAGTAAGAGAGCATTTGAAAAATAATGCCTGTGGATTTTACTGAGACTTCTGTCACCTGGTATTTCAAAAAAAACGTTGTGCTATAAATGAAAGTTCAAAGGGTGGCCTGGACAGAGAAGGGAGATTAGCAGCTGAACCATCCCACCCTTTCTTTCCATGAGGTTTTACAGCTGGGACACTGTAGAAGATACAGAGACTATACTATAATTTTTTAAAATTTTATGTGTACGAGTGCATCTGTATCATGCAATGCCCATGGATGTCAGAAGATAGATCCCCTGGAACTGGAGTTATGGATGGTTGTTAGCCAACATGTGGGTACTGGGGATTGAACCCAGGTCCTCTGCAAAAGCTGTCAGTGCTCTTAACTGCTGAGTCATCTCTCCAGACTCCAAGAATGTATATTCTTTAAAGCTTCATTCCACAGGCAGATCAGCAGTCACAAGCACTAGCAATTCATAATGTGGAGCTTGTGTAGGAAAAGGTCCATCACGAAGACAGACTCTAAACACAGAGTCTAACAGCAACTGGGAATGGTCTGCGAAGCCATGGAAGAAACTCAAAGTTGGAAAACCCAGATAAAGACAATGTTATCTCCCACCTGTGTGAGTGAGCAGAGCCAGGCAAGCTCCTTCCTGTGCGCCCTGCCTTCCTGTCCCCCCCAGGCCCAGTCAGGGAACTAGAATGTCTGTAGGAGCCCTCATGCCACTGAGCCCCAGAACTGGGCAGGACATACTGCTATGGACATCAGGAGAACATGAGTGGCTGACTAGGAAGTTGCTCAGACCCTGGCTCAGAACAGTGACTTGGAATTTCCTGAGTAAAGTTCTGAGAAAATACCTGTAGTACACGTGCTCAGGGGAAAGAGATCAGAACAGCAGTCAGAGGACTGTTAAAGAGTCAATGGCGGGGCTGGAGAGAGGGCTCAGCAGTTAAGAGTACTGACTGCTCTTGCAGAGGACCTGGGTTCGATTCCCAGCACCCACGTGGTGGCTACGAACCATCCTTAACTCCAGTTCCAGGGGAATCCGACAGCCTCTTCTGTCCTCCGCGGGCATTGCACGACATGGGTGCACTCACACAAACGCAGGCAATACACTCATACACATAAAATAAAAATAATAAAATATTTTTAAAAAAGCCAATGGCAACCACACTCTCCCTCTGAGCCTGTTTCAAGGCGATGTAGGCAGTCTCAGCTGGGATCCACCTTGCAGGCTTCTGAATGAGACACTACCACCAGCCTGGCTGGCAAATGCCCCAGGGACAGATCCCACGTCTGTTGTGGGAACCCAGGCAGCTCTAACAGAATGATCTCATGGGAAGTACTCAGTGTCTTCCAGCATCTCTGAATCTATGCAGTGACTTTCTCTTATGTAAGGAAAGACCTGTGCTCTCCTCCTTGGCTGAGGTTGTCATCTGTCACTATTTCGGCTATCATGGTTGGTGGAAGACACCACAGCTCTTTTCTTCACTATAACGAGTACCTCAGCAGCTTGCCAGAGGATGTCCACATTCTTATTCTTGCGTGCATGAACGTTCTGCCCCAGAAACCGCAGCAGCTCCGGCAGGCAGGTCTGACTCCGAGATCGAGGTAGACCTGGAAGAGAAGATGGGTCTGTGGAAGAATAGTATCAAAGATACTGCTGCAGAGGAAATGATAAAATGACCAGTTTAGAATCAAAGGAAAAGGGAAGGGAGGCATTTACAGATTTGGATATGGCTACCAGCATGGTGAGCCTTGAATTCCTTTACTGTCCCATTTGGGCCACCTTCAAAGGGCAGTTGCTTCATCTCTTTTTGGATCTTCTGATGGCCTAGAAATGTAGACACTGAAGGAACCAAGCTTCCTGTCCCTCTAAGTGGAAGTCAGAAAAAAAATGAGAATGAGCCATACAGTCTCCAAACCATGGATGCAGAATGCTTGGAGCAATGGATCTTGACCAGAGAGTGGGCCAGAAACCTTGGGGAAGTCTGGAAGGACAGCATCCCGAGGCCTCAACCTACACTTGGAGGAAGAATTTCTGAGTAGTCCAAGGGTGCCTCACCCTGCTAGTCCTAAAAGCTTACTTCTTCTACTGTGTAAGTTTCCAGACCCTTCCAGAACCTCCAGAACCCACTTAATCTGTCATACTGCCTCACCTAAGACAAAATCGAAGACAAGGCAACTAGTTCTAAAGTTACTCTGGGATTTTTTTCACACATTGATATTATTAAAGACAAAGAGAAGACTCTTAAAATCATGGCTAAGGAAACCAGTGTCTAAGTCCTCAATTCAACAGCATGATCTCCTGAGTATCGATCTTTAACCACACAAGCAGCTTCCCAACACAACCTCCCCTAACCACACATGCAGCTTCCCAACACAGCCTCCCCTTGGTGCACACGGCATCCTGGTCTAATTACTCAAGCTTCTGCTATGTATTCAGCACCTTACTTGATAGATGGGGCTCCTGCCTGTGAGGACCTTGGCCTGTGACACAAACTGTGGAAGTCCAGTGGAAGAAGGGGGCCTCTGGTCAAGGCATTCATGCTCTGAAGAAGACAGAATGATCTGACCTCCCAACTGTAGATCAGCTATGGCCTCTCCTGGCCTTTTATTCCCCACAAGTGCATAGCTTGTCCCTCTTGCTACAGCAGTCAGAAGAGATGCTACTAGGCTTGTGGTGGCTCCTGGGGAGATCCACCCTCCATACCTCAGTGTTCTTATTTGGATAGGAGATCAATGCCCACATAGAGCTGCTGTAGGGATCAGATCAGATACTTTTCATGAAGTGGAGAGTCGAGGGCCTGGCACTGGGCAAGGACTTGACAGATTTCTTTTTAATCATGAGCAGTGATCAAGAATTGGAAGACATATCGGTGACTGTGCCCATGACCTATAGCTGAGTTCTGGGAAGATTTCCACACTAGAAGGACAGGAGAAACTGGAGACATGCCTGGAGCACCATGGGTGATGTCAATATACTTAAGGCCAATATATGTGTAAGGTTTTCATAGTGTTGGCTTCAGGGGCCTCTGGATTCTCAATTGAAACCTCGTGGGGTTCCTTTACTCCTGCCCATGCATATCAGCAGCAGCTGAGGGTCCAAGAGGCAAACAAGATACAAGATGGGGCTGTTAGTAGCTGGTGTCCCCTTCTTCAATCTAACCAGCACACTGGTGAGCCCAGGAGGAAGCAGCTATTTCCCTGTTTTCTGATTGAGCACTGCCAAATGAATACCAACATCTCCCCCTAGCCCTGGTCTCTTCAGCCACAGTCCCTCTTAACTGTCTGTAAATATACAAGTTGCAGAGTCCAGCAATTCATTCTTTATCTAGACATACATATTAATACTGACTTCACAGAGCTGTGGTGGGATTTGCAACAATGAATGTGGAACAGTGTGCAGAGCACTTAACAGTGTGCATGACTTGTCAGTGACTTGCAAAGGTTGTCTGCACTGCTGTTTCATTACCAGTTCTGAACTCTAGGATCCACTGCACCTTCCAACAGAATGCAAATGAAGCCTGTCTGCATCTCTCCAGCTTCTCTCTTCCCTCTTTGGACCCCCTAATGGAGGAACTTAGCCTATCTCCAAATAGGACCAGATGTCCATACATTGTGCGGTATCTGAAGGAGTAAGAGCTGTCTCACTGGGGGTACACGTGGCAGAGGCTCAGTGAGTTTATTGGGATGAATTTAGGAGACTGGCACAAGCAAAAGTTTTACTGAGAGCCCCGGGTTTCTCCCTGAGTGCTGTGGATGCCAGAACCATGTAGTATGTTCACAGGGGAGCACAGAGTGTTGCATCTGCATAAGCAGAACATGGAATTCTATTACCTCTGGAGGACAAAAGCACCCAGTTAGAACTATCTTCTCAGTACCTTACTCTATGTGTCAGGAAGGAATGTGCATGGGCAGCTCATGCATAATCACTGGACTGTCTCCAGGATCACCCATGTCCTACTAGCAGGTGCATACTGTCTGTCACTGCATACCAGAAAGTCCACATCAAGTACGGTGGAAGTAAACTGCAGGAGAGATGAGCAGGGGCTGCAGTAGCAGGGAAGCTTCACTGGGTGAGATTCAAGCCAGACAGAGTCTAACCAGGGGAATGCATTGCTGTACACATGCATGTGGGGGGCAGGAACTGAATAGCTCAAATACATGCACACAGGGTGTATGCAAAGGTATGAACATGCATATACAGAGTAGGATGAGCTGGCAGCATCCAGAAGGTCAGTAAGCAGAGAGTAAGCTCAGACACCCATGGGTGGAATACATTATGAATGAAGGAATACTCACAGTCCTCTGGCAAAACTTCTTTAAACTGCTCAAAGTAGGAATTTAACCGCACCAAACTCTCTACATTGATAACTTCTTGCAAAGAAGTATCACCAAACCTAGGGGAGAATTAGGGGACATCTTTAGTAGGGTCTTCTCATCTTCTTCTGACAGAGTTGAAACCTATGTGAAACCTAACAATACTGATTCTCTCAAATATCTTTTGCATGTCTAAATCTCAAGCCACTCATTTCTTTGTGAGCATGATGTCATCCCTACAGCACTGGTGGTCAGCTTCAATACTTTTCAAATGAGGGAACCATGTATAACTTACTACAGGTGTGCCTAAGAACTTATCAGCCCATGATCCAGACCTGCTATACTTAAAAGGTCTCTCTCATGCACAGACTGAGGAGTGGTGGAACCCAGTGACCATGGTCTGAAACCATGAGCCAAAACCTTTCCTTTTAAAATTTTTAAGGTATTTTGTTACAGCAATGAAAACTAACAATAAAAGACTGAGACTGAAATGTCTACATGGTGTATCACAGGAAGTCCCCCTCACAGCCACTCAGCTCTGAGTTGTCTTCCTGCCTCCGATGCACTCAGGAGGGGGGACAGCAGTGGGGGTGGCAGGGAGTAAAGACACAGTCCTGTACTGGAGAAGTCACTCTGTCTGCTGTGTGAACACTCTGACTGTCCTTCTGGGCTGGCCCGAGGCCCTCACTCTTTCCTCATCAGTCAGGTCTGTCCTATGTGGGTCAAATGCCTGAGGGAAGTAGTGGATGCCACCTGCAAGGAAGGAGCTAGCAGGTAAACACTGGAGGCCCTGAAATAGGAGACCTGGTTCTCGGGCCAGCCTATCACTCACTTCCCTGCTGCATGACCAACTTGAGCATCGGCCTCAGAGGGCAGGACTCCTTCTTCCTCAGCTCACCCTGGTGCCCACAATGGCTCTGTGTGTAGGCACCTACTCTCTAGGGCCTGGGGTGGGGCGATGTGGTCTTCCCCTCTCTGTGTAGTCTTTCTGTGTGGTCTCCCCTTATCTCAGAAGCAAATCCAGCTCACGAGTGTGCTAGAGCAAGCAAACAAACCAAGACCACATGCTCTTCAACTCTTCCTGATCCCCTCTCCTCCACTACCCTGCCCTCTGCTCACTGCTGCTGCAGCTGGACCTGTCTCAATCCTTTCCAGAAACTGGTTAATAGAAGCTGGATGCAGAGAATGTCATTCTGGGATACCTCTGGCTGGAGCTCCCAAAAGAGGCCCACTCTCCTCACACTGGGTTCTCTAGTTCCTGCCTCAGAGGGAGCTCTGTTTCCAGGGCTGGTACCTAGGCTTGAAACCAGTCACCATCTGCCTGGAACATGCCCTACCCAGGGTCCTGGGCTCAATAAGGGCACCAGCCTACTCATTTGTCTCTAGAAGTCTGGGGCCATCAGTCTTCTCACTGTCTCTCTCTAGGCTACTTAAATCAGTTTCTAGTTGGTGCCTTTTCAGAACACCTGTACCATCCTCCACCGATCCTGGTCCCAAGCACTGCTTGTGGCCCAGCCTTGCAAGCAACATCTTCACATTTCTCTCACATCCTTCCCACCCATGGCCTACTTAACATGTAAATATAATCATGCCCTGCCATATTAAAAGTTGTTCAACATTTCCCAGCAACCACAGCATATTTCCCAAGGAGTGGGTGAGCTTACACCCAGGGCTCCTCAGAACCTAATCACCCCAGTTGCACAAGCCCCAGGAGAGTAGCACACACCTCTCAGCCAGTGTTTGTTGCTCATTGATGCCAACATTGAAGAGGACTGGCTGCACCCGTAGCAGCATGCCACTCTGGATCTCCCTGGGAAGGGAGTCAAACAGCGGGCCTGGCAGAGGGATCCGTACATTAAACCCATCACTGGAGGAGAGAAGAGAGAGGAAGAGCAGGGGTGAGGCCAGGGCACTGGGAGTCAGGGAGGGACCCCAAGAAAGCTTCAGAGCCCTGGGTGTTAATCTGGCCAGTGATATCCAAATGCCCACTTGGACCTTCAAGGGTAGGGTATGAAATTATCATTAGAGGGGCTATGACTTCTGTTTGTAAAAGAATTAAATAAAACAAAACAAACCAAAGAGCAGAGCGTATCACATGAAATGAACACTGCTGTGGCTGGGAGATTTGAAATGCACATTTCTACCGGTTTCCTGTGATGACTGGCAGCATGTCAGCTGATGCATTCGAAATGGCCTGAGTGACTTTGAAGGTCACATTCCTCAAGTCCATGATTCCAAGGCTCATGTCCTCCAGCATGGCCAGCTCCTCTCCTGGACACAAAAAAGGGAAGGTGGATGTCAGGCACAGGTCTGCCATTCCCCAGGATGGGGACAAGCAGAAGGCTAAGGGTATTGATGTGGGGGACACTCTGGGAGCCCTTTCCCCTAAATACAGTGCTCTGTGAAAGGATTCTGCTACTGACTACATGCCAACATTGCACATGTAGCTTAAGAATAAGCCGCTACTTAAGTTTTCTGTGCAGAGAACTCAGAAGCCTACATCAGCTCTTCAATAGTGGGAAGAGAGACAGTAAAACAGCTTCCACCACCCACAGCTGGATATGGAGCTGACAGCCCATACCAACAAGATTAATAATTTTAAAAAATGGTCCAACTTTCACGTTTTTGGAAGAAATTAATAGAGAACAAGTCTAGAGAAAAGAGAGTCTCCCTAAAAGGAAACTTGGAATCAACTCTTAAGTTTTTAACTCAGCAACTCTCCTTCTTGGCTGTAGAAATGGGCACACAAGATCATAAGTGCCTTCTCTGTTAAGGTGTCACTGCACCAAAGATTTAGTGGGAGCAATTCAGAAGCAACCCAAATCATCCATCCTCACTAGAAAGACCTTCAAGACATAGAACACGACCACCACGAGCCAAGGAGTACATACAGCTAATGTAGGACTGTCAGCTATTTTTTTTTTGTTACAGATCCTGATGATGCTTGGACTCATTTTGAGAAGGGGCATGAAGTACAAGTGGAAGTAGCCCTGTGACCCCAGGTCAGTGGTCACATCTGAGCTGCAGGTCTCACCATAGGTGCTCAACAGGCTCTCAAACTGAGCCAGTAGCCCAATAGTGTAGAGCTGCCGCAGGAAGCCATCATCATGCAGGCAGTTCCTCAGCTTGATGATGAAACCACAGATGAGCGCAGTCAGCTGTAAGGGAAGCACAGGGGAGCAGGGTAAGGAGCAGGCATTTGCTCCCCAAGCAGTAATTGACCCATGCCTGAATTCTATTGCTCAAGAGACATCAGCAGCATCTCTTATCTACCTTGGGGAAGGGTTTGGGGGCTTGGGATCTGAGGCTGTCCTGACTCTGGGGCCATGGGAAGTATGGCAAACACCATCACCCTCAAAGGTCGGTTTGGTTTGAACTCAGCTTATGACCTGATCTGCCTGGGATTGTTCCTAAACTGGAACTTTCTAAAAGCCCAGAATAAATTCCCCACAGTGAAAGGGTTTATCTACTTCCAGATCTATACCAACTCTTGTTGGAAACTGGGTTATTCACAACTAAGAAGGAGTGAGAGAGAATGTAGTCACCCGGTTGCCTTGGGAGGTTCTCTATGGGATGAAACAGGCCTCCCAGCATGGGTGGGGCAACTACAGAGCGCCAGTCCCCTACCTCGCTGCTCATATCATTAATTTGATTGCTTGACATCTTTTAATTTGGGAGGTTCATCTCAACTCTTCACTGAATGGTAACAGAAATCATAAAAATGTAGCCCTGTGATAAGCCACTGAACTATGGTGCCTGCTGTTTTATGAATGAGAAAACTGCACCTGGGGACGCATCCTTGTGGTCCTTGGTAAACTCCTCTGTAGAAAAAAAAGGCAGCAAAGAGGACTTTGTTATCTGCTACCTAACTAATGCAGAGCTCACCTGCAAGTGCCAGTTCCTCAGGAGACAAAGACTTATGGACAGACGAGTCACCTTTTGTGCTAGCCTCTGTTAAATAAACTTGAAAGTAACAGATAGGGAAACATGGCTATTTCTTGTTTTCACAAGTGCAGTGGGAAGGACAGGGCTGCCTAAGCCTATCTTCTCTGAGGTAGGAGGTGACTGTGGCCACATAATGGTCCTCTGGGGTGCTTACGGTTTGGCAGAAGACTACATCTCGACGGTACTGCAGGCTGAGGTACGAGGCGATGGTGGGGGCACTGTCCTGCATGAGCAAAAAGACCATGGCCTTCTTGGCCTTGTCACTCATCATGGCCACACAGTCTGTGAGGGTGGTCAGCAGGGGGTACAGGGCCTCGCTCCATTCACCTGGGCATGAGTGAAACAGTTGTTATAATTTGAAAGAAAAGCTTCAAGAATTAGGTTCTTTAAAGTAGCAAGTCATCTACCCCCAACCACTGTCCCACCCTTCAGCTCACACCCTTTACCCTTGTGTACCTTCTGACCCTGCTTGCACCAACATTTGGCCTGGAAGTGGCACTAAATTCTAGAGTCAATCTTGGCCCGGGGCTCTGCCTGCAGTCTTTGCAGTAACCTAAATCAGTTCTACTCTGGTGTCACCCACAGACACTAGGTCTCCTGCAACTACTGAGGATCCTGCTTTAATACTCAAGACTGTACCTGTTGAGGAAAACAACAACAAAAGCTTCTGCAAGTCATGAGAAGGCCAGAAAAAGAGTCTGTTTGCTAAGGCCAGCCTGTTTCCACAGCATGGTGGTTCCTCCATCTCACAGAGAATGACCACAGAGAGGGTGTCTGTGGTTTCCCTTCATAGACAGGGCCAGTTATGCCACTGTCAGCTTTGTGCACACCCAAGCTCTCCTGTCCCCTCCTTCTGCACTCACTTCCTTCCCCATCCCCACCCCTCTGCCTGATGCCAACTATTTCTAGCTTAGTTTTCTTTTAGAAATATAAGGAACTGACACTCTCAGCACAGAACTGTGGAAATGAACAGCAGGCCTCAATCTTAATCAAAGAATTATTGGCAGCTGATTACTGCTGGATGCGGAAGAGCTGATCTTCTTAAAGGGAGGGATTCTAGATAGGCTGACTTCCCCAGTGGAAAAACTGGCACTGAGGAAAATCTAGGGACACTAACTTGACATAATAGGCCTTAACACAAATAGCAGAAGGTATGAACACCTGTGTGTGTGTGTGTGTGTGTGTGGTGGGGGGGTGGTTATGAGAGGGTGCCAAAGGGGAAGGGAGTATAAAGATGATTTTCTGTATGAAATATACAAAAATTCAGTAAAAAGTTAAAAAAAAATAGAATCTCAAGGGGAAAAGGCAGGGTAAGAGGTAGCTCTTTTCCTCCCTACTTGGAAGGCATTTAAAGGAGATGGCAGCCCTGGGTTACATTTTCAACAGGTCACTTGTATCCAAAAATAGGCATCAACTCATTCCCTCTTGGTGAACCTACCACTTCAAACATGGCTCAAGGCAGAATAAGCAGAGTAGTAGATGCCTAATGGTGCTTGCCTTCACAGGATGGGGTCACAAGTCACAGAAAGTCTCTGCCTTTGACATACAAAATCTAAAACCAGAATCTGGCTGGAACTTCAACTCCAGGGATGTGTGAAGGAACTTGCCTACACTCAGTGACAGGCCAATATGGATTAAACAACATAACAGTTCAGAGGTTGGGAATGCTCTAACTAGACAACTAATGATCTAACTAGGCACACTGTATGTGGATAAGAATTTATCTATAATGAAAGAAAACCAGGCTTAAATTTACAGTCTAAAGCAGAAAGGTCTTGGCAAAATATAACAAAGAACATTGGAGTGAGAAGTAGAAAACATAAGGCCAGGCTTGGCTGCTGAGTAGTGAGGATGCAGGCAAGGCCTGTGACCCCTCAGTCATATGGCAACTTCTTGGGAAAATGACAGGACAGGACTATATAAACAGCCAAACCTCGTTCTCCCTTCAAAGTCCTCAGACACCAAGTTTTCTGTTTCTTTGAAGAACTCTATTGAACGCGGCAATTATAATCTAGCTACCAAAAATGGCCAATGAAAATTGGGTTCTACTAGCAAACAGCTTGGGATTGGTAGCATTCAAATTCTTTTTCAAAAGCCAGGAATTGTGGTATCTGCCCGTAATGCCAGGTCCTGGGAGGCTGAGGCAGGAGAATGATAAGTTATAGATTAGTTTGAGCCACATACTGATATCTTGCTTCAAATCAAAAACCAAGCCTGCCCTCCCCCAAATACTATTCTTCACTAAGACAAAAAAGTGCTTAGATCAAATGCTGCTATTTTTTACTTTGTTTCTCCAATTATCATAAACATACAATTCATATGCCAATCATGGTGATTTTAACCTGAAAATAATCAGAATGCACACATACAATCTTGTTTGACTAAGCTAAGCTCTCTGCACACAAAATTTTCACTTTGACCACCTTTTTAAAAAATAAAAATTCATATAAGAATGACATTTGCTAAATCAGACAAAAATGAAATATAGGAAGAATGGCTAAAAGACACTGAGATGTTTGTCTCAGAAAGCAGGTAATATGGACCTGCAAGAGGAGGAGTGTGACATCTTCCCAGAGAGCATCCCAGACAGATCTGAATGGCTAGAGGATCCAGCAAGGGCACCAACCACCATTCCCCAACACCTGTTAGTATTCTATGAGCACCCCCACAGAGAGTGGCATATACACACACACTCTCTCTCTCTCTCTCTCTCTCTCTCTCTCTCTCTCTCTCTCTCTTCAAAACAGGGTTTTACTCTATAGCCCAGGCTTGCCTGTAACTCACTATATAGACCAGGCTGGTCTTGAACTCACAAAGATCCATCTACCTCTGCCTTCCCAGTGCTAGGATTAAAGGCTTGTACCACCATGCCTGGTTCTAGTACTTTACTTTCTAACAGTTTTCCTGTCTCATCCTCAGAGAGGAAACATGCTCAGAGGCTAAGACCATCCAAACACAAAAAAGAACTGGCATTTATATGTGGGTCTGACTGACCCTCAAAGCCATGTTATTTCTAGTAGGCCAGCCTGTTTCTGCTGGGGAGAGAAGAGGAGTTAGAGGGTAATACATATTTTCAGTATGAGCTCACAATTTTAAAAAGTCCAAACTAAATGGATTTCAAGGATAGTACATGTTATCTTCTCAGGCCCATCAAGTAAAGGTGTCTGGGATGTCAAAGTTGATGAAGGGCTTAACAATATGTTTCCCTCAGTAAAAAAGACTTGCTATTTAAAATAAAACAAAGCACAACAGAACAGATCAACTAAGCAATGTCCCAAGTGACATAGCTGATCCAGTTCTGGGGGCAAACTCCTTATCTTCTTGGCACCCCTGACTGACGGGCAATCCCTGGTCCATATTACTTGAGAGAACTTAAAGTACTCTTCCAAATCCTCATTCTGCTTTTGCATTTATTCAGCCTATCAGTGAGGACAGGGAATGAGGGACAGAGTGTGAGTGTGTGTGTGTGTGTGTGTGTGTGTGTGTGTGTGTGTGTGTGTGTGTGTGTTTGTGCATATGTAGTGTGTGTGTGTTGTGTGCAGATGCATGATTTCATGTATATATGTGCAGAGGCCAAAAGTTGGCATCTGCTGTCCTCCTCTATTGCTTTCCACCTTACTTTTTGAGATAGGGTCTCTCACTGAAGCTGAAGTTCACCAATTGGCTAGACTGGCTGGCCAGCAAGCTCTAGGGATACACCTATCTCTGCCCACCCCCCAACCTCGGTGCTGGGGTTACAGGTATGCTTTTCCACGTCTAATTTTTTGCTTAAGTGCTAGGAATCTGAAATCAGACCCTCACGTTAAGATAGAAAACAAATCTCCCAGCTTCTGTATGTGTGCTTTAACACAGATTAAATATGTTCTATAGGAACTCCTGACAGGGGACCATTTTAGTCCATTTAACATCAATTATGGAAAAGCCATCAGTGCTTCTGGACGTGGCATCACTAACAAAAAAGAGAGGGTTCTACAAGATAGGCATCATCTGTGTGCTGACAAAATCTCAGAGTAGACAAGATCAGCTGAGCAGACTCACAGGACACCCCTGCTGGTCCTCACTGCTGGCTGTGGTCCTAGACTTTTGCACCACTGAGGCACAGCAGAACCAGCTATTTGAAGGCTCTGGCTAAGACAGGCAATAGGGAAGTGGAGAGTAAGGTAAATTGTCTGTGCATCTACCAAGGCTCAGTGAACCTGAGGGATCACTGGGTTGAGGCCCAACCAAGGCTGCTACACTGACATTTTTTGGAAAGAGAAACTGTAAAGGAGCTGAAGCAAACTGGGAAGGTATGATGACCCAATTTATATTAGCCTGGTGACAAGCTGACTTCAATGTGGTTCTGGGGTCACTGCCAGGAATCACCACAGTAAGTAGATTCATGGCTCTGTGTGAGTGGAAAGGATCCACTAACAATGGACAGGAATGCTCAGTAAATGCTGCATGCATTGTTTGCTGTACTCTGGATATAAAGCAGGTATCCTGCCACCGTATATCCACTCAGAAATATGTACTCATTGTACTCAATGAACTGATCATTTAGCTGATTTTTGAGTGTAAAAAAAATTGGGGGAGGTACATGCACACTGTGAGAAAATAAGCCATATGCAGGAAGCTTACTAGGAACTAGATCAGGGGTTGGCACACCCTACAGTAGAGTCTATATATATGAAGGCCATAAAGGCTCTGCTACACTAACTCAAAACAACATATAAATGGGTAGGCATGACTGATCTCTTATAAAATAATACAAATGCAGGTCATGGCCAGGATTTTGCTCAGAGTTATAGTTTACCAACCCCTGAGATAGAACCATAAACATCAGTTCACACGAATGCAGCAGAAAGATTTCTTTACTTTCTTTTTTTTTTTTTTTTTCTTCTGAGGCAGGGTCTCCCTGTAGCCCCAGATAGCCTTGAACTCACAGAGATCCACCTGCCTCTGCCTCCCAAGTGCTGGGATTAAAGGCATGGACCACCACACCCAGCTCTAAAGATTTCATTTTTATCACTAATTCCCATAGCAATGTCTGGTAAGAATTCCAAAGTTGTGCCCAGACTCTGATGAGAGGGTGCTGCATCATTACAAACATCACAGCTTTCTGGTGGATACCCATTAGCTGACTGTGCCTTCAGAGCTATGCTTATAAGTTCAGGTGAATATACAGGAAGTATCATTTACAAAGATTTAACTTTCTAAATCAGATTACCCATTGCAGGAATCCCAATGCACTCAGAAGAAAATCACCTGAAAAGGTTTTAGGAAGCAAAAAGAAAAACAGTATGTGTATAGTAACCTGTTTCAGGCCACAGTTCTCTCAGTCCCACAGGTTCCTCACAAAACCTCACAACAAAAGAAATCCTAAAATATTTTCCCAACTATGGGAACGCAAAGCAATCTTTGATTATTGAGCTACAAACACTACCTGAATATTAAAAAGACACCAGCAGGAGCCTTCAATGGAAACCACGTACCTGGACTGGACTCTTCAGGAGGGGGGCTGCAATCTGCACAGAAATGGAGGGCAACAGGGATGATTAAGGAGCAGCACACAGTTCAAACACGAGCAACTCAGTCTCAGAGCTACTGCATTGGCAGCTTGCAGTAAAGTGGATAAACCACATGGAGAAGAGGTCTGGGGCTCAGGTGCCTCTTGCCCAAAAGTTTCACAAGGTACTCCAGCTGCTGCAAGCAGCCGAGCCTTCTCAGCGGTGAACAACTGTGATTCACCAGAGTCAGCATTCATGTTGCTAATACTTCAACATAAAATGTTCTTCAGGATGAGTGAACCAACACACATAATGCAATACATGCCACATCGATGATGATGCATTGATGGAGCCCCATGGTAGCTTACAACATCAAATGAGAGACACCGACCAACAAAGTGTGCACGCCTACTGTGCAGCCAGTGCCCTGACTCACTGGGGAAGCCTGGGTTCAAAATCAACTGCTAAACTCCAAACTGCTAAGGCCCAGAGATAAAAACAATACATTAAAAGAACCCTATGCCAGTCTTTAAAATGCAATTAAACTAAATGAAAAAGTTGTACGTTTTGGAAGAAGTCTCCAATTAGGAACACCCTCCTGGTAGGCTGTCACACCAGTTAGGTGACCCTCAAGGTCATCCAAGAATACCAATTTTGATTCTACTTCACTTTTGCTGAGTCTCACTGGGATGTAGTCATTTCAACTTCACATTTCCCTTAAAAACACTAAAATTCCTAGCTACCTGAGTGTGCCATCTCAGAGATGACAGTTTGAAAGGGCATCAAAGAAGCAAAAATGCATTTTATTTTGTGTCTGAACTGAAGTTCAGAGAATGTCTGCAGGATACCAAAAGGAGGTGGCTTCAGATTCTCAAGACCAGCCAGATCCAGCTTTAGGGGGATGTCAAGAGGGTGAGGGGAGGGACCCTTCCTCTCTATTGTCTTTGGACATGACGTCTCAAACTGACAAAGGGGAGAGAAAATACAAAGTCTTCTGTAAGCTGAAGAGCTTGGTCCCTTTTGCCAGAATCCAAATACCCTGAGACCATTTAGCTCATAAACAGAAACCCACACTGGTGTGGAGTGATGCAGCCAACAATGTTTAAACCTCTATCCAGCTAATCAGAAATATCCCAAGCCTTGAAAAAATACTGATTATTTTTGCCTCTCCATAACCTCTCTTTAAGGACTTCAAGTCTATGAATGAGGAAAGAAGTTTAGGAGCCTGTTTTGTGGGCTTCTGTAGTGATCTCAAACAGCGGGGTAGGACCATTTCTGTGAAAGTTTGCTTAGGGATAAACTTAGTTTGGTATACACCTTTCAATCAAGGGGAGAAAGGAGTCCTCTCTGCTATTCTCAGATCGGTAGCTCCTAACTGTTCTTAGGTCATGAAGTCCCTTGAGATTTAACAACCACCGTGGATTTGCTCTCTCTTTACATGCAAATTTCAGCAAATAATCTTAGGAATACAAGAAGCTGGGGTATATCCATAGATTTCAGAGTAAAAATAAAACTGGTCTGGGTCTGAATTAGTCTTTGTGTATGAGGAGAACAGGAAGTGTGTGTAAGGAAAGCAATGGGAGCCGTGGGGCAATGGTGGTGTACCTTGCCAGGTTGGGGGGGGCATGTAACGGGTGTGGGGGCACTTCTGGAAAAACAAGGATAGGAGAGGCTTGAGGTACCTCTTTGGTTCCAGCAGGACAGTTAGTGGGTCCCACCTACTACAGAGCTGTAGCTGGCTCCTGTCCACCTCACAGCGCTCTAATCAGCTCTAGATGACAGGGCAGAACTGCTCTTTGTTGTAAGAGGAGAACCAAGGACTCAGGTCAGGCAGAAAACTAGAATGAGATATGATAAAGTCTTTCAAATGAGCATGGGGTTGTTCTCATAAAATAAGTTTATTGAATAGGTTAATGCTGTTGTAATGAAATGCTTCTTTTAATTAAAAAAAATAAATAAAAATGTTACAACAGAAAAAATAAATAAATAAAAATAAATACATTGGTGCAAACACAGCATACACATTTGGCCAAAACAGTTGCCCCTATAATTTGGTCAGACAGAACCAAGTGCTGGCACTTATGGACAAGTAAGTCACAAAGACAAAGAGCCTGGTCACATGGGGTGTGCACAGCTGCTGCTCTCTAAAGATTTCTAACTTAAGGAAGAGCCATAGTTAATTTAATGGCCATTGGTTTCTTACACTGCTTTGTGTGGCAATCAGCAGAGTGAGGCTCCCTCAAATGCATGCCTCACATTCCCGTACACAACAGAGCTGACGCTGACATTACACACCATTGCCAAGTCAAACCCAAATTAAATGTGTCAGTATTTAAACAATAGAAAATGTGCCTAGGGAAAAATAATGTATAAGTTGTGCATATATAGTACCTGAATAAACAAACTAGCTCTTAAATTTTAAAATATTCAACCATTTCCCCCTTCTATAGCTATAGAAAATTCCCTCTCTCTCTCTCTCTCTCTCTCTCTCTCTCTCTCTCTCTCTCTCCCCTTTTCTTTTTTTGCAGTTCTGGGGATTGAATCAGGGCCTCACACATGGATAGGCAAGTGATCTACCACTGAACTATATCCCTAGTCCTCACAAACAAATTAACTTTAAAGAGAAATAAGCAATGAACTTTGAGAAATTTTAAAAAGAAGAAATTTACATTAAAACATTAATTAAATAACAACAGCAAGAAGAAAATCAGAACAAAACAGAGACAACCTAGCTCCATGAACCAAACACAGGCTTGGGGAAGTGACAGCTAATCCTGAGATGGAAAAGTAGATGATGTGGATACTGCTGAAACAGAGGTCCAAGTGGGATGGTACCCTGGAAACAGATTGCAGGCAGATAAAAGAGGCAAAGGGCATCCAATAAACAGAAGATGATTTATCAGGAAACCCTCCCTTGAACGGCTATTGTCCAACTGAGAATTTAAGGGTCCTCATCATATGAAGCCTACCCCTGTACACCTTGGCTGTACTTACTATAAATTAAAGTTCCTCCCTTGAACGGCTATTGTCCAACTGAGAATTTAAGGGTCCTCATCATATGAAGCCTACCCCTGTACACCTTGGCTGTACTTACTATAACTTAAAGTTCCCCAAGGAGAACAAAGAGGAAACAGAGGTGGGTGTGCAGCCAGGACTCAGGTGACTGGCCTCAAATCCTCTCCAGCTCTTACAGGAAAAGGTAAGAAGCACTACAAAGGCAAGGAACCTGCTTATTTAGATGCATGCAGTCCCCAGCCTCCAGGCCATCCTGAGAGCAGTGTTTGGGCACGTCCTGTGTCCCAGCAAAGAGAACACTGAAGTGTGCTGCTGCAAGACACTGCTCTACACTAAAGGTCTCCCTAGAAGGGTAGTGTCAGACAGGTCAATACCACTCATCTACTTAGGCAACATGTCTCTGCTGGTAAGAGTGTGCCTGCAAGTCCACAGGACCTGCAAACTCCCTTTATCCAACAGTATTCTGGAAAGACTCACCTTATTTGCTACTCTACCAGTACGTAATGCAACAAACATCACATCAGAGGCATCTGCATTCAGCCTCCTTCAGGTCTCAGCTTTACAAACATGAAAATCCCTTATAGCCATGGTACTATGGCCCAGAAGGGCCCAGAGAGTCTGCCCATGGTGGAGATGAATTGGTGGGCTCCAGCTGCACAGAAAGGCAACTGGAGCCCCCACCCTGCCCTCCCATTGCTCTATGCACCAGGCACTCCTGCTCTGCCTGACATCTCTCCCTGCAGTCTGCCTGGGGGAGGGAGGCATGGAGCCAGACACAGACACACAGAAGTGATGCAGCACAAGTGGAAGCAGCATGGGAAGCGTGGATGCATACGCACGTGTGTTCAGGTGAGGATGGCATGCAGCAGTGGGCATGGAGGAGGGGCATGGCGAGGAGGGGGCGTCACAGAAGGGGTCCTCCGGTCTGATCCAGTAGGCGTGGCTGTCCCGGTTACCTTTCTTGCTGGAGGAGCTGCCTGAACAGGGGAAGACGTCCTCACAGCTCTCGCCATGCAGACGTTCCTTCTGCAGCAGCTTGTCCACCCGCTGGATGATGCACTCCAGGCTCTTGTCAACATTCAGCCACACTTTCTCCTTCAAACCAACAAGGTTGCTTCAGTAAACTTGCACAAATGGAAAAACTAGAACAGAACACATGCCAAACCCCTCTCCACTGATCCCCAGCCTGGGCCACCATGCTCACTAACACACTGGATTGAGAAGTATCAAAATGATTTCCAAATCTTCTAAAGTCATACTTTTTTTGTTTGTTTGTTTTGCTTTGTTTTCATGGAGAAAGGGTCTCCCAATAGCCACAGGTGGCCTGGAACTGGCTATGTAGACCAAGCTGGCCTGACTGTACAGAGGTCCTGCCTCTGCCTTCAGAGTGCTGGGATTAAAAGTGTGTGCCAACATGCCTGACCATATCTGCTTTTAAACTTTATCTGTCTGTCTATCGTCTGTCTATCTATCTATCTATCTATCTATCTATCTATCTATCTATCTATCTATCTATCTATCTATCTATATCTAATCTGTGTGAGAGTATTGCCTGCATGTGTGTAAGTGCACCCGTGTTGTGCAATGCTTGAGGAAGTCAGAAGATGGTGCTGGATCCCCTGGAACTGGATTTATGGATGGTTGGTAGCTGCCACGTGGGTGTTGAGAATTGAACCCAGGTTCTCTGCAAGAGCAGCCAGTGCTCCTCTTAACTGCTGAGTCATCTCTCCAGCCCCGTCCTATCTGCTTTTTTTTTTTTTTTGAGACAGGGTCTCCTTGTAGCCCTAGCTCCTGGAACTTGCTATGTAGAACAGGCTGGCCTTGAACTCTCTGCCTCTGGAGTGCTGGGACTAAAGGTGTGTGCGCCACCATGTCCAGCACCATCTCTGCTTTTTAAAGGCAAATTGGAAGCTAGGTGTGGTGGCATACATCTTTAATCCCAGCATTCCAGAGGCAAGCAGATCTCTGAAGTTCCAGGCCAGTCTGGTCTACATAGTGAGTTCTAAGCCAGTCAGGGTTACACAGTTAAGACACTATCTCAAAAACAAAACAAAACAAAACAAAGTATAACACAAATAAAAGACAAAAACAAAGACAAATTGGAGTTTTGTGGTCACAGACAGCTTTCCAGTGCCACCAGATGGCCATGGGGCATGAAGAACGAGTTTCTTTTCTCCTCCCTCTACTGCAGGCCTCCTACAACTATCCTAGACACCCAAGGTCTCTTTCTGATGAAAGAGAATGGAAACAAGTTGGTAGCAAGAGGTAGGAATTGGGAGGAGGAGAGGCCATGCTGGGAGTGATCTGCAGAAACCCCACAGACCACAAAATGCCAAGGCTGGAAGAATACTTCGTTGCCAATTAATAATTCAGTGCTTTCCAGGATGCCTCTAAGCAGTAGTCTCAACGAATAACAACAGGTTGTATGATGTGTCCCTCCCTAGAGATAATGATCCTGCTCTGGCCAACTCTGGAAAGAACATGATACAATGTCAGCATCTGAGTTCCCACATCTCCAAACACCAAGAACCCTAGAAGGGCGAGGGGTGAGCAGAGCACTGAGGGAGAGGAGTGGCTTGGCCCCCAGCACAATCTTGCACAATTCACACATACTATGGTCTGAGAATAGTCTACTTCCCTACTTCAGGTAGCCTAGAGCCATCTGGGAAGGAGACTTGGAGCTTGCTTACAAAGGAGGCAACCTTTCAGGCACTTTGTAGGGAAGATGCTGAACACAGGTCTATAGTTTTCAATCCAAGTGCAACAGCAGGACAACAGGCTGGGGTGGCAGACTCACCCACTCCTCTTCGTGCCAGTCCACCTGTAGGGAAGATCGGCTGTTCCTCCCTGTCCACCTGGCCATGAGGGTATCCTGGTCATTCCGAAGCATCACCTGCTCCTCCTCGGTAGAGGTGGGAGAGGCCTTGGATGCGATGTAGTCAGGCCGTGCAGCATTCAGCCCATGGATGGAGTTGGCTAGCAGCTTACAGTCGCAGACAGTGACCAGCTGCCGGGTCTATGGGTACACACAAACCAGGGTTGCTGAACAACATGGTAGACTATGCCTCAGCCTCCAGGGAACAAGTCCCTAGGGGTCACATATTACTTTGGTTCAACTACTGAAGCTCACTTTTTTAAAAAAATTTATTTATTTTATGTGTATGCATGTATTGCCTGCATGTAGGTAAGCACACCGTGTTGTGCAATGCCCGCGGAGGTCATAAGAGGCTATCGGATCCCCTGGGACTGGAGCTACGGCCAGCTGTTAGCTGCCATGTGGGTGCTGGGATTCGAACCCGGGTCTTCTGCAAGAACCACCACTGTTCTTAACCGCTGAGCCATCTCTCCAGCCCCTGAAGCTCTTTTTTTTTGGGGGGGGGTCTTTTTGAGACAAGGTCTCTCTGTAGCCCCAGCTCCTGGAACTCACTATGTAAACCAGGCTGGCTTCAAATTCACAGAGATCTGCCTGCCTCTGAGTGCTGGGATTAAAGGCATGTGCCATCTCACCCAGCTCACATCTGGCTTTTTTATTTGGGTTCTAGGATTCAAATAGAGGTCCTGAGGCTTGTGCAAGTGCTTTTACCCACTGAGCCATCTCATTGGTCCCAGTTCCCCGCCTCCGGCCTGGAACTCACTATGCAGACCAGGCTGGCCTCAAACTCACAGAGATCCACCTGCCTCTGCCTCCCGAGTGCTGGGATTAAAGGTGTGCACCACAAAGCCCGGCTGAAGCTCTTTTTTTAATGCACCTCAAAACCTAATACCAAAGTCCCGAGCTCTGGACAGCTGGGTACCTGGCATAGCATTTCTGGTTTTAGAGCCTGCTGTATGCAATAGTAGTCTGTAGTTCCTAATTTTACTGCTGACAACTACATTTTTTTTTCCTACTAGGTCTGATCTCTTAGTTTTTATGCTGTATGAACACGTTAAGGATATAACACATTCTGACCAGGAACAGCAGCTCCTGCCCAGATGTGGGTGGGGAGGTATAATCAGAACCTCCTACCCCTACCACCCCCTCCTCCCGTGTGTGTGTGTGTGTGTGTGTGAAGAACCTGAGTAATAGAAATGTCATCATCCATCAAAAGGTTAGATATATTCACTCTCTCAGTATGGACCAATATTTATATATTTGCTAATCAGGATTGAGTTATAGCTAAACAGAACTTTTTTAAACTAATGATATATAAATCAATAAAATTATATTGTTCATTTCTTATGTCTAAATAATAGCTCTATAGATGTTTATTAGGCTGTCACTAAAAAAGCTTGAGTCCCAAGAGAATGAGTTCATAGACTTGTTAGAAGGCACATGGACATGAAGCAGCACCTGAGAGTCCCAGCCCTGGACTTTGACTGGGGCATATCAGCAAATCATTTGTGTGGGGAACTGGACTGAAAGACAAACCTTCAAGGTCATCATAAGGCCATTCTCTTGTCTCTAGGCACACCTAGGGGGCTCTGGTGGCTTGCAGAAACCCAAGGGATCATTCCATCCCACATGCTGGACAGACCCTTTTACCTTGTCTGCCAAGATGGCAAGTGTCCTTTCAAGGCCAGTAGCAGACCTGTCCTTGGCCGCCCTTGAGAGCCGCTCTGCATAGTAGCTAACTTGGGTTTTCAGGGTGTTGATCTGGGCGATAATCTCCTTGGCTCGGACGATGTCCTGTGGTATGTAGATTATGGACTGGCAGCTAGATGATGTACTAAAAAGGTAAGAACAGATCCTAAGGGATTTTCCCAGATCTGATGAGGATGGCAGCAGCAGCCAATCCTACCCACAGCTAATCCTAAAATAAAGGAAAATTTCCTGGGGAGTTTAGTCACTGATGGGCAAAAGTCAATCTTGGCAGATCCTTTTTTATCCATGTAGAAGTATAAAATATTAAAATAAGACTAAGACTTTTATGTGAACTTGTACATGTCCCTTTTTTACCACATGTATATACATGTGTACACAGACATTAAACTATCACATGCAATAATTATTCAAATACTAGACTCCTTATCTAAGAACTTCAGCTATTAACTTAAAAGAAGTCCTCAATTAGAGATTTATACTTATGTATAATTGATCAAATTGATACACTGCAACAGATGTTGAACTTTTTCAAAATAATTGAAAAACCAAATAGCACCCTTAAGTCTGCTTCTTTATTTGGCCAACAGGGCCTTCAGACTTCCTGTGAGCAGACTCACATTCTTCCTCTCTCACATGTCTGACTCTAGCAAGTTCCCAACACTGGGCTTCTTTCTTTTTCTTATATGCTCCAGGACTTCCTTACTTTGAAAATAATATTTCATAAGAGGAAGTGGAGTGTGCCAACCAGAGGCAAGCCTGATATAGCAATGCCTCTGAAACCCCAGTCCCTCCTCCTTCACCACCAAGCAGCATGTTTATTTGGGAACATGATATCAAAGTGCCAGGCCAGTGGTAATGATAAGCTCTTGGCTTGTCATTGGTAACTGGACATTATCGATTGTAATGTCTCTTAGTTCTGGTCCCAATCAATCCAACATTATAAATTTGTTTTTTAGACCATCTGAGACCAAGGAAAGTCAGGAGAGGTCCATGTCACCAATGCAGAGTCTCCTAGGATTTGAGGGAGAGAACTCAAGAGTAGAATGGTGCCTCTTCCCTTTTGAAAAAGGGATAGACCTTAAATTCCAGGAATGAGGAAAAAGATAGATGACAGACGGTGGCTCTCACCACACTGTACCCCATTTTTTGGAGATGAGGCACACCTGGGACCTTTACTGGGAGGCCCAGAAGCAAGTCAGGAAGCAACTGCCACTGCCCTCTCTCTTACTAGACTAGAAGGCAAACATGCAAACACCACAAACCAAAGCACCCCGGAAACACCACCACCACAATCCCACACCACAATGAAAAACAATGGATGTGCCAGAAGCCCATGCAGCAGATGGCGACTGAGCCTTGTGCAGCACAAGTCATTCCACAGCACCATGTGCGCACAGCTGCTTTCCAATCTGCAATCACTCTTCCAAATGAATAGTTGCCACTTAGGACATTTTAGTATTGAAAATATATCTTAAAATATTTTTTTTAAATGTTCTTCCCAGGTCCTCAGTCTTTAGTCCACATGGACTATGAGCTGTGTATAGATCTACTGTCATGTATGCCTGTGATTGTGTACATTCTAAAAGTTGCATGCCTACCCCAAGGCCAAGAGAAAAACATCATCCCCACTCACCCTGTGCTCTAACAAGATGTGTTCTGGTTAAAAGTCCCTGGGAATGACACATGGGAAGCATGTAGTAAGGGTGAGAATGGACAAATTTCAAAGAGCTGCTGCTGGGGACATCAGGAATACACAAGCACATGTACTCAGGTACCTAGCTCTGAAATCAGGAGGCCGCACAAAGGAGGCACAAGGTATGCTACTTTGCAGTACATGTTTTCCTAGGCTTCTGAACTCCAGGGGAGGGGCTCTCTGTTCTACTAACTACCTGGGCTTCCAACTCTTCCTGGAGCAGGCCCAGGAGGCAATAACCTACAAGTGGTCCCTGGACTTGTAGTTAGACCCCCTCAGTGTAGGTCTACTGACTTATACCCATCCAGAGTGGAGGCCATGAGCTTTTTAAAAAAGAATGTCATGTAAGTAAAAGGGTAGAACATCTTGTGTGGACAGTTACTCTACTAGGGCAGGGCTGCTACTACATAGGCAGCACTGCTGTGAAGCTGGGTCCCCCCTCTTCCAGGGTAGGGTCATATCTCTGACCTGGATTTGGGTACCCCCTCCCCAGGGTAGGAAGGCTCCCTATCTGCCTTGGGAATGCTTTGTATGCTGGGAAGAGGAGAGTGGAGGGATGAGGGTAACCAAGGCCCTCCTGGGCTGTAGAAAGCCTAAGTCTCTTCAGTTAAGATAGAACCTGAAGAACTTTCTAGATAAGGTTCACATAAAACACCTGGGTTGGGACTTACTGGGGGGAATGGGGCATCTGTATCACCATGTTCTACTTCCACTGTCCATCCAGCACACCTTTAGGAATCTGACTCATACGGATATGGAAAAGAGTAAGCCTTCCTTCCAAGAAGCCCCAGAAGGGGAAAGGAGAGAGACAACCTGAGGGGACACTTCTACAACATAGCTATGGGTCTCTTCTTAGAAGGAGGGGCAACCGTATCCCTCCCAGATGCCCTCCTTCCTCCCTCAGGACCACAGGGAAGGGGCCCCTCAGAGGCAAGCTGGAGATGTCTCATCTTGGCTGTGTTTGTGGTTCTTCAGGACTTCCTGCTATCAGCAGCTCCCAACAGAGTCCTGGAATCTTAGCCAGGACCCAGCCCCAGAGCCTTATAGGTTCCAAGATCCAAAGTAGCAGCACTGTCCAAAAGGTTGTAGGGGTCTCCTCACAGTGAGGTCACAATTCTGGGCCTGAGGCTGAGGTAGAGAACCCTAGACACAGACATGGTAACTTCTGGCTGCTGTCTAATTCTCTCAAAAGCAGAGTCTTTCAGTTCTTAGTCTGCCACCCAGTGGGTAAAACTGACCCTAACAACACCATCTTTAAAATCAGCACAAATTAATTAGTATAAAAATGTAAGCAGGTTAAGAGGAAAGTAAAAACTGAAAGGTCACACAGTTCTTGTAAAAGACGACCTAGCCAGGCCTGATATCATAGACCTGTAATCCCAACTACTCAAGACTGAGGCAGAAGGACTGCAAGTTTGAGAGCACCCTGGGCTACGGGGCAAGTTCTAGGCCAGCTTGGCAACTTAGTGAGACTGTATCTCAAAAGAAAAGTTTAAAAAGGGTTGGGGTGGAGCACAATAGTAAAGTACTTGCTTACCATGTGTAAAATCCTGGGTTAAATCCCCAGTACCACCAAAGAAAGGAATAGAAAGGAGTTCCCAAAATAGCCTTGAGACGATTCAGTGGATAAATGTGCCTGCTACCAAATGTACCAGTGAGCTGATGTGAGAAGCTAGCACCAGGAGACTGGACCAGGCTATTCTGCATCCTGTCAGAATTGAGATCTGTTTCTAGTGAGCACAGCAAGAAACTGCTGTCAGGTTTGAAAGGAAGGTGGTAGACTGCAGATTGGCTATTCATTGCCAAAGAACATTGCAGTTGGAAGGAAGAGCTCTGTCTACAGGGCATGTAACTTGTAGCCACACAGCACATGAGGTGAAGCACCACCCCGGGGGGCAGAGGACAACACAAGCTTTCTCTGCATGAGAGCAAGACCCAACAGACACTCGGTCCATAGACAGAAAACTCACCAACACTCCTCAAAACTGCTAAAGAAAAGAACCAAAATGGAGTATTAGCAGTTTGTTAGCAAATATCAAACACAAAACAAAAACTAAAAGCCAAGTTATTTTTTGTCAAAATATTTAAATAATTTGTTGAGGTCATGACTACAGGGATAACTAAACTTATGAGTCCACCATGCTTACTCCCCTAGAGCAAATCTGTAGCCTGTGCTCAAGCCCCAGGAGACATCCCATTGGGGGCACAGAACAGCTCCGTTAAAAGGAAAGTGCAGATGATAAAAATCCTGTCTGAAAGTGATTTTATGACATTAATAGGAAGTTACATAAAATCTGTATTATATATTTGAAAGACACTAAAGAGGCATTTGAGGAAAAAAAATGTTCTGAAGCTAACATGGAAAATCATGAGCTCCAACACTCCAACCTTTCTGGGATGAGGACAGTCAAGTGGCCCCTCTTGACTAGTCACCCAAAATGAACAAATTTTCTCCTTCAGGGCCTCCATGCCACCTCAACTCACATACTCTCGCCACACAGCAACAAGCAATAGTGAGACAGACACACACTTTCTGGCTGACTGTACAGAACTGTGGTGGGCACTGCAAGATTTGCTCTTCTTCCTGTTCCCCAAAGGAACATTGTAGGTGTGAAAGGTAAGGCAATCTGGTCACCCAGTTTGTCTGCAGGGTAGGGATGAATCAAGGTCAAATAAGCTAGCTGAAAGCCTCCCACAGAATGCTGAAATCCCTTTGTTAACCCTAGCCCTTTTATTCAGGGCCGGCCCAGTAAAAGCTGACTTCTCAGAGTGTACTCTCTTTTGCTCCCTACTCAGCCATCCAGCCTCACCCACATCTTATCTACCTCCCTGAAACTCTTGGCCACTGACAGGCCTCAGCTCTACCCTCTCTCCTGCTTCGTGCTCCAGTCTTACAGTATTCTGAATCCTGACCATAGGAGCAGAACTGGGAAATGGACAGCCAGCTCCCCATCTGTGCTAAGTCTCCTCCACTTGCCTCTGCCTGATCACTGTGTGCATTCTCTAGAGGCTCTCTGGGTCTTTGCTCCACATATCTCAAACCATTCCATTCTCAATGGATTAAGTCCAAATCTTTCAACATCGTATTCTACAGAGGCTCTTCCACTGCCACTTCAGTTTATTCTCCTACCTCAAAACTGCTCTGCTACTCCATCTGCTGCTCTTGTCCCTTCTAGGATAACCTGACTTGCCCTGCCTCTTTGACTCCAGAACCCACCAGTGTTCTCATCTCTGCTACCTTAGCTAACACATATACACCTTCCCTAGTAGCCTAAACACAAACTCAAGTTCATTACTCTCCTCAGTCTGAGGCCTTTCTGTTACTTTTTCTATCTCACATTCTACCAAGGACCTCACAAGATTATCACTCATCTCTACTCCTTACACTTACATCTCCCACCTTTGATCATTTATATTTTCCTAGGTGACATTCTAGCTTCCTCTAGAATCCAAGGAATCCTCCATCATGTCCGGTATTAACAGTTGAGATTTTTGCACAACTCTCTTAGGCTGGGTTGACACACTGCTTCTGGTGCCCAGCACTCTCTTGTGGGCTTGCTGCACACACAGGTATGGTGCTTGTTCTTGGGTAAGGCCCTGACCTCTCAGAGCCAGACCTAGCTCCGTCATGCCCATGTCTCTGATTATCAGTGCCTGGCCCAGCCCAGCAAAGCCAGCTCTCCACCTCAGACATGTGCTCCATCTGCCAGACCCCTCATCCAAAATGCCTTTCCTTTTCTGGACCCTGGTTAACTCTACCCTGCCTATCAGGCAATTTCCTGTTCAGGACAGAACTGTATAAAACAGTGGGAAAGCTTGTCATTGCTAACCTTCAGGAAAGGCCACAAAGTACCCTAGGCTTTACAAGTCTAGTGCTCTACCAACTGACCAGGGATTCTATAGGAAGCTGAGGCAGCAGCTTTGAAATTGAACTTTGGCTGCTTCCTAAAGCACCCTTGCAAGCTGATTCACAGCATACTGCTCAATGGGACCACCGATGAAGTGTCCTAATCGCCCACTTAACTCAGTCACACATACAGACACAGAGCAGCACAGGGTCCCTAAGGCAGCTCCTCCAGCCACGCAAAAGCAGCTCGAATGGCTGGATGATTCTGCAGTTTTGATTATTGATTTTAACTGACAAGCAATAGACAGTTGTACAAGGACCACCAATTCACAGATCCCTCCTTCCACTTACTGTTTCTTGGTCTCTTCAAATTTGTGCAGCTTTTTGCGGAGACCTCCTGACTTAAAACCTTGGCAGTGTGCTGCTGGGGCTCCAATAGTGACGACGTCATAGTTCTGATCTGAGTGAAAAAAAGCTTTCCTCCATTACTCTGGACTCAGGCCTGCAGATAACCCAGCTATAGCAGTATGTTTAGGACTCTGGGACCCTCCAGCCACATCCAAGCAGACTTTGGCTTCCTCATTCTACACCCCAGGGTCATCAGAGGGCTTGCTGGGCTCAGCACTAACTTCTCAGTAAGAGGTTTAGTGTCTCAAGGTGGAGTCCTTTGGGCTGCTAAGTGCACTTCCATCCTTTCTGGGAAAGGCTGATAATGGGCAATGCTCTCCCAAAGAAACAAAAGGAAGCTGGACAGACATAAGGATGGCAGTTTGGGCTCTTGAACTGAGACCCTTTCAAAGGTCTGGGATGTATTTTTTTCTCTGTGCTACACGGTAGCTGACCATATAGGAAAACTGGGACAGATACGGGGTAACTCAGGGACCAAGAGAGAAAAAAATAGAAAGTGATTCAAACAATAAGGAAAGAACAGTAAGTACCTGAGCCTCCATCGTCTTGAACTCTCATCCTTTGTATGTGCAGGTTTGTGGGAACAAATTCTAACTTTTTATCGGCTTTCAAACTGCTTGCTTTAAATGAGGGACCTAAGAAACAGACATGAGAAAACAAAGGTCATCAGTATGCAACATGCACAGCAAGCAGGAAGCAGGACCAGCTGCTGCCACTGCCATTGTCACCACCACTGCACAAAAGCAGGTGTGATTCAAGGGTGGCCTGGAAAATTCTGAGTGGCCACTCCAGATGGTAGGTTGGAGGATAGCTTTCAGCCAGGAGACGGGCTCTGAGTGTATATGGTAAGCAGAGCCAGGGAGAACCAGCCTCAGAAGATTCTAGCAGTAAGGAGGCCATGCTGCCTGTGATTCAGCTCAACTCAGAGACCTGACACAGAGATGTGATCTTGGGCAGTGCAATGCCAGCACCACTGTAAAAAGCAAGTACATTCATGCCAGAGGCTGCCTGTGCCAACTCTATAGACTGCTATCTTAGAAACTGATTCTTTTGGGGGGGGGCAGAGAGATGGCTCGGCAGTTAAAAGCAGAGGCTGCTCTTGCAGAGGACCTGGGTTGGGTTCCCAGCACTCACGTGGCAGCTAACAATTGTTCATAACTCCAATTCCAGGGGGACTGAAGGTCTTCTCTTGACCACCACTGAGCACTGCACAACATGGGTGCTTTTACGCACATGCAGGTAATACACTCATTGCAGCTGAGAAATAGTACATTTATGCAGCCTGTGTAAAGGTGGTGCTTTGTATGCCACGGGAGTTTATTCCCCAGAGTCAGGCACTCAAACTGTGGCTCTCACACCAGTAGTGTGGGTGTCTTGTGATACTGTAAGAAATAAGACTCCCAAACCTGCTGTGTACCAAGATTCTCAGAGTATATGGCTACTTTTGACATTTGAGAAGCTCTATTCTAGAAAACTCAAAGAGTATACGGTTTCACACTTTCTCAGGAGCATTCATCCAGCAAGGTACCTTGATCCTTTGGGCAATATTCTGCTACTTATCTTAGCAATGCACTTAGAGTTGCTCTTGGAGCTTGGACCAATCTCATCTTGTAGTACCACCTTATAGATCTACGCCTGATTTCTTCTTAGCTAAGTACACTTCCTATATTCTATGTGAAAACTACATTAAAAGGCTTATGATTTCTTCTTTTCCAATATTACTCCTTTAATTTCTTGCTCTTGTCTAACTGATCTTGCAAGAGTTTCAAGCACTATGTTAAAGAGAAGTGGAGAGAGTGGACAGCCTTGTCTGGTTCCCGATTTCAATGGGAATGCTTCCAGTCTTTCTCCATTTAGAATGATGTTGACTGTGGGTTTGTTATATATGGCTTTAATTATGTTGAGGTATGTTCTCTCCAGTCCAATTCCTTCTAGGACTTTGAACATAAATGCATTTGAATTTTGTCAAAGGCCTTCTGTGCATCTATTGAGACGACCACGTGGTTCTTGTCTTTGAGCCCATTTATATGATTTATGACGTTTATTGACTTATGTATATTGAACCATCCATGCATCTTGGGAATAAAGCCAAATTGATCATGGTGGATGATCTTTTTGATGTGTGCCTGTATGCAGTTTGCAAGTATCTTGTTGAGAATATTTGCATTTATGTTCATTAAGGATATGGGACTATACTTTCCTTTTTTGGTTGTATCTTTACCTGGCTTTGGGATTAGAGTGATGCTGGCTTCATAGAAGGAATTTGGAAGTTCTCCCTCCATTTCTATCAAATTATCCCTTTTTGCAGATGATATGATATTATATCTAAGAGACATCAAAAATTTCACCAGGAAACTCCTAGAAATTAACACATTCAGTAAAGTGGCAGGTTACAAAATTAATC